AAGCCACACCCTCTTAAGCGTTCAAAGCCTAGACTTTCAGTCTGGCATGAATGAGGCTGTCGTTCAAGTAAAATTATTCATCTCCTAGCTACTTAAACCAAAGCGATTTATACTTTTCACACTATCCAAAGCTGAGAGTGACGTCAAAGCAAGCACTACTGCAGGCCTGCGGTCATCGATGCAAGTGGGAGTTCCTACAGAGCTTGAACCGATGCTTCACCCTAGTAAGACTACGGACAAAAATACTCTTAAAAAGTATGGTGTCGCATGAGATTTTATCCTGTTTACTCTTCTGCAAAAAAAAAACATCTATTACTAAGGCGAGAAATATGAAATATGACTGTTTTGGGATGTCACTTAACTCTCTTACGCAATAGAATGAAGCCCTTCTATTGATGATGTTCATTGTCCTAGAACAAGTCTAAAATGACGATGCGATTGCAGTTTGCTGAATTCGTCGATTACTTAATTAAAGGGAATTGTTGCTTCAGAGAATTCAGCTGCATCCTTTATGAAGAAAATATTTGTCACGTCACAAAACTAACAAGATAAAATGAGGAACAAGCTTCATTTGCAGATACACAGACTCGCCACCTATATAACAAACTCGTTGTGTAGCTGCGCTGCGAGGTGCAACGGAATTTTATTTAGCAACATGGGGTCCCTCTATAACTGAAACATGCATCCGAAGTCAAGTCCACACGAAGTTCCCCACTGGAGAGCTATATGTGGACATCTTCAGAGCAGAGAATTTCTTCCAGGAAGTCGTTCGCGTCAAACTTCTTCTTATGCTTTAAACCGGTAGTATTAATTCACCAGTGACCTCCTCTTCCCCACTAAGTACCTGCGTACAGCTGATTCCTGTTGTCTAATTTGTGAGTTGTCTTGTCTCATCTATCCCAGTATAAAATATTTATTGTGAGAACACTCGCTCAAAACCCATCTCCTGGGCAGGACAAAGAGGGTTAAATGCGGTCCTAAACCAAACAGGTAACCGATTTCTTGCAAGTGATCCACGACATGAAGCCAGGGTCTTTCTAACTATGTCTAATTTCTCCTATAACAAAAAAAATTCCGACAAGACAGCGAGACTATACCGCTTCTCATTTGTAAAAGCGTCAGAGTTCTGTCCTTTGGATACTACTGGGAGACAATCTTCAATTTCATAATTATGCACATTATGCTTGTATGCGATTTCGAAAAGACAGTATGCGCAGGAATTGTTGACATCTCTAATCCTCTGGAATATAAATAATTGGTTGAATTAATCAAAGTCTTATGACACGTCACTCTCAGCTTATAGTTATTGCCATAAAAGATAAGCAGGAGGAGGGAGCAGTACAGTAAATGAGACAGGGAAAATGAGTTCAAATGGGACTCACTATTATTTGTGCTTAGCTAGGAATCGCGCAATCTCACTCAAACCTACTTTTCCGCTGCATCAATTGCTCCTGTCTAATTTCTCTCGGGATTAACTGGAGAGAACGGCGATGTGGCGATGCCACATTAGATAACAGGGGGACACTGGAGGTGGTGGGAAAATATGGCCTAATGAGGTTCAGACATTTCCAAATTTATATAATTTGTGAATCCCATTCCATCCCTATTCTCCACTTCATTTGCTGTCCCATCCTCCCGACAGTCAGCTTTCGTGGGAAAGAAGATATGAATGAAGTAGTCTCATAGAACCCTACATGCAAATTCATGACTTCGTGCACAGCTCGGAGACACGGCATCTACACCAACATTCGCGGAAGAAACGAGATTCCGCGGGAAAGTATCAGTAAGGACATATTGGCAATACATGACGGCAGGTGCTGGATGGCTTCTTCTCTTCCTACTGCTCGTCAGTAACATCCTCACCCAGGCTGCATTTTCGGGCTCTGATTGGTGGCTCTCGTACTGGTTCGTTCTTTCCATCAACGTATGAATCTTCATCTTTCACAAGAGCATGACTACGCAACTCTTCATTGCTTTTGCTTTCAGGACCAATGCTCAGGAAGCTGCAATCCATCAAAATTGTTCAGCAGTAGAGATCATCTTTGGCGATCCCCATCTGGATTCATGGATACCGATGTACATCTACGTGGCGATCGTGGCGGCCTTGTTTTTCCTGTCCATGCTTAGGACGGTTTTGTTCTTTCACATATGCATGAAATCTTCAATCAACCTTCACTCCCAAATGTTCAAATCTGTTCTCCGAGCCCCAGTTACCTTCTTCGATAACAACCCAGTTGGTGAGTCCCATATTCACATTCATTCATCCAAAAGGGCATTAAATCTGTCATGAATATCTAACAAATGAAACGGATACATGATTTGTTCAATCCATTGCATTCTGCAGGCCGGATCTTGAACAGATTCAGTAAGGACGTCGGAGCATCAGACGACATGCTGCCTCCCACAGCTTTTGACACTCTTGGAGTAAGATTATCGAGTTTTCTGGGTCCTGCATCACTGTTATCTGCTGTAGGGAACATCCTTGTGGACCTTCGTACCATGCACAGCACAAATGCTTACTAAACCCTGTAAAAATCTCGCACGACACAAGATTAGTCATCAGGCACAGGAGGCTCTCTGTCCATAAATGTGCTGATACCGAAACCACATTGAACCTTTTACCTGTATCTCCAAGTAAACGCCCTCCCCCTGTAACCACCCTTAATGATAAGTCACCTCTTACCGCCTTAATCCCAGATCAATTAGGGTCTAGCGATACACTAGTCGCGAACATCACTGTGGTCCATGTCCGATACTTAGACACGGATGTTCTACATGCTCAGGGATCTTCTTTCCAAAACGCGCTTGGGATTGCACTCAGATTAATCCACTGACTTGGTTGTCTTCGCAAACAGGTTCCCTGCAACAGCCAATAGAGCCATTCAACCTTCTCACATAAATGTCACGCCTCACATGCAATAGTATAGAGCTTTCCTTGCATTCTTCATGAAATGAAATGTATCTCTCAATACAGGGTGGTCCAAAAGTCCTACCTCAAATGGCTTTGTATGGCTACATCAAATGCTCAAACTGGATACCATTAAGGGTTTGACAAACATGGACACGATGATGAAAGCTGTCACGCACACACGCGAAGGTCTCTCCAGTGATAGCACCATAGACTGTGTGAATGTTGTCTTACAACTGGTCAATGTCGCGGACTCAATCGCGAACCAAAAAAATAAATCCCTATGAGACAGGACTTTTGGACCACCCTGTATATATCTTAAAGCGTGATAGGCGTTTAACACAACACAAAGCGGGGGACGGGGGAGACCAGTTAACATTGCGCCCACGTAAAGTAAGACTCAAGTTGGGGAAAGATACTTATCGGACTGTAATGCATGAAACGCGTCACGTGAAGACATAGTTTTGACATAGTTCCCATCTTTGGAAATTTTCAAGAAGAGAGTAGATGCCTCCATGAATAAAAAAAAAGAAATGGTGCAAGCATCACCAGAAAATATATTAACACGCTTCTGCCAACTGCATTTATGTTTAGAGAGGCAAGCATGTCTTAGATCAGGGGTGTGCAACCTTTATCGGCAGTGGGCCGCATGGAAAAGTCTGAGCTTCACGCTGGCCATAGAATGCAAAAGCAAAGGCTCCCCTCTTTTGCCCTAAGGGCATGTGAAGGGATAAGGTCGCGCTGATTGTGCCGATGGCCCTAGGAATTTCCCTTAGGACATTCCAACGCCCGAAAATGGCATTTGGCATGGAGAACCTCCTTCCTCGGGACATTTGTAGCACCGCCCGCGTGAGGAATAATTAGTGGAAATAAGTAAAAGGACTCAGTCTGTTTCTGGTTACTAAGGGATGACCAAAGTTGTGATGGGCCTTGGGTCTGCAACGAAATTTATTTTATCTCTTATCCCATTATGCATTACCGGGCCGCGGGTTGCACATCCCTGTCTTAGATGGTGATGCGAATTTTGAAGCGCCCAGCCTCGACTCGGGATGTCAATATGGGAAGAAATGCCTCTGGACATCCCGATCAAAACTATGAAACTTGAACTCAATATACAGGTTGTCCCATAAGTCACTATACCATTTCGAACTGCAATTTTTTCCAAACTGCTATAAGCAGGTCACTGCTGTTAGCATTAAAGGAAAGAATGTTCTTTAGATTTTTTCTCACAATAATGACTTGGAATCAGACTCAAACGGAAACTGCTTTCAATGCATGTTGGAAGACGAACTTATTTAGGGTGATTTATGGTACAATTTTTTAAATCCTCATCTGTAAATTGCTGAACTTCGTGCTTTTCTTTTCTTCTAATTTTAGATAGACTATTGGAACATAAAAACGTTCCTATAAATTGGTATTGCTGTCATGAAAAATGGCTTGGTAATTGAGCTTGGAACAAGGAGGAAATGTTGTCACCTGAATGGTTTTTGAGATCCCCATCAGAGAGTTAGGAGGGAAGTGATTCTTTGGGAACGAGTCTCACAAAATATAATGATATAGGGTGAGGGCTTGTTGAGGAACTTTGAAAGCCCAGAAATTCCTATTTTTTCGGCAAGACAATTCTAAATGACATGCTGGAGTTGGGTGAATCTTAGTTCTTTTTCATGCCAACTGTTTAATAGTATGCTTTTTTGAAATAGTATATTGATTTATGGGGCACCCTGTATATCTGATTGCTTGCTTTTTCATATGCTCCTACGCTCTTATCTCGTCCCAAGCAACACATACATCTAAATGATGTCTACGCGACGTTACAGCAACGCCATTTGACTCAAGTCACGTTGCAACAACATTGCATGGACATCATGAGTTGCTTGGGATCCGACGCCTCCATCCTTCCGTGTCCTGCAGTTCATGCTTGAGAATAGTATTTCGGATATTATACACAGTTTTCATTACGTCTGAGAAACAGCCTTTTTGCATTATAGGTGACCTTCCAAGTGCTGGGCATCTCATTTCTGGTCTCCGTTACCAACTATTATGTTGTAATTGGCACAGTGATCGCCATGGTGGTCTTCATTTGTCTACGAAACTTCTATTTGAAAACTGCAAGGGATTTGAAGCGGCTGGAGTCCACCAGTACGTTGTATTAGTGCTATATCACTTCCGAAGGTTCCATATAAACCTGCATCCATACTGCAGTTGTTGCAATTGGAAATGCAATTTACTATTTTCTAATCCTTTCAAAAATTTCCTTTCGCAAAATCACTATCTCAGCACGGAGCCCGGTCTTCTCCCATCTAAGCGCTTCCTTGAACGGGCTGGCGACAATCAGAGCCTCACGTACAGAGAGCATCTTCATGCAGGAGTTTGACAACCATCAAGTGAGACAAATATAAAATTTTGTTGTTATTGTCCCTCGCAACAAGGAAATATTTTCTTGCATTTCCGTTCTCTCGTATATTTCGCAGGATCGTCATACTTCTGCGTGGTTCCTCTTTCTATCCGGTACCCGATGGCTGGGCATTTGGTTAGACTGGTTGATCGTCGTCTACCTCGCTGCTGTCACCTACAGTTTTATGGCAGTTGGCAAGGGTAACAATTCAGAATCTTCGTGGTTTCTCTGTATATAATTTGATATAAGTGATGAGGTCTTGGAATCCAACAGAGGCACTGGGCGGGAATGTCGGGCTCGCAATATCCTCGGCAATGATGCTGACGGGTATGTTTCAATGGGGTGTAAGACAGAGTGCAGAATTGGAGAATCAGATGACATCTGTTGAAAGAATCATGGAATACTCTAAGTTGGAAGAAGAGGGAGCCCTCGAGTCACCGCCTGGTAAAAGACTGCTGCAGTGAATTTCATTCCTTTTGAAATCCAATTTCCACCGAACAAGAGCAGGAAGGAGGAATTGTATCCTTCTTGCAGACAAAAAACCACCGTCGAACTGGCCTTCAGAAGGAGCTATTGAATTCGAGCAAGTGTCCCTCCGATACTCCGCCGATTCATTGCCGGTACTCAACGACCTCACATTCAAAGCAGCGGCAAAGGAAAAAGTAAAGAATTCAACATTTCTCATTCAAGGAACCAAACCATGACGACGCTGTTTTTCACCCCTCTCTCCTAACCTAGATAGGGATAGTGGGGAGAACAGGAGCAGGGAAGTCGTCGTTGATAGCCGCCCTCTTCCGTCTGATAGAACCTGAGGGTCGAATCCTCTTGGACGGAAGAGACACAAAAGCTTATGGTCTCCATGAGGTCCGAAGGGGAATCGCCATCATTCCACAGGATCCCGTACTCTTCCAGGTTCTTACCTTATGTGCTAATTACATTTTTATTTGTCCTACTTGTCTAAGTCAGGGGTCGGGAACCATTTTAACCCTGTGAGCCAAATTAAGATTGAGCCAAGTGCTCGTGAGCCAAAGATTTTTACAACATAAATTTTCCTGACGTTGGCGACAAACATATGCGTTTTTTTATGCACGAGAAAAATGAGGAACAACCGTGATTTTTAGCCATGACTATGAGCCAAATTTGGCACATGAATCGCAAGTTCCCGACCCGGTCAAAGTAAAAGCGGGTAGTATTGTTTCACACGAATAAATGGATGCGCAGATGGATGGTAGAATGCTCTTATGCAGTGTTGAGATAAATCTTCACCCTCATTTAATTTCGCAATCTGGACCATCCCCTATACGAGGAGGGGATGGTCCAGATTGCGTATCCTATATATCCCCTCGTATATAGATCATTTGCCCACGCGGAAAAAGGATATAAATAAATCGCGAGCGATTAAACTTCGTGATCACTTGAGCCTTGCGAAGTTCATAAAAGTAAAACAAATGCGAAAATTTATGGTTGCATTGTAAAATATATGGAAGTTTTCAAGAATCGACTGATGAAATTCGGCATGCAGTGATTTTCCGATGAGTTCGCACACACTTCTGATGCAAATCATAAATTATAAAATAAGCACATCACAACTTCGGCCATCCCGTAATAACTAAACTAGAGATAGATTAAGTCCTTTGACTTTCTTCCCCTAATTATTCCTCACGAGGGGGCGCTACATATGTCTGGAGGAAGAAGGTTCTCAATGCCAAAGGCTAATTTTGGGCGTTAGAATTTCCTATGGGTGTGACGGGGGGGAAGGATCATCAGCGCGACCTTATGCCCCCCAATATGCCCTAAGGGCAAAAGAGAGGAGCCTTTTCTTTTGCATTCTATGGCCCGCGTAATGAGTCACTTTCATGCGGCCCACTGGCGATAAAGGTTGCACACACCCCTGATTTGCAGAATTTCCTCTTGGGAGAATGGTTGGTTGTACCATGCTCTGAGGTCAAGGTTTTCAAAGAGGTTCCCATGCGTATGGAGCTGTCGTGCATCTATCGGAGGTTTAGCGTCTGCGTCAAGTGGTTGACACATTGTTCCTGTGTGATTGGGGCAGGTGTGGAGCTTTGCTTCCTTGAGAGGGTAGCCGAAGGAGTGATGTTACTTTGTTCAATCCTCCTTGGAAGCTGGGTATCCTCGTGTAGGGCTTTTGCATTCCTGAGGAGGGCCTCGTATTCATGTCGGTCCCGGTTTTAACAAAGCAGGGTTGTGTGTCCTAATAGGGCGAGTTGAAGTGCTCGTATGATTTCCTTTTTCTTTCCCCTGCACTCTGTGTCGAATCCTTTCCCATGTGACTCGACATTTATTTGGGGGAATATAGCAGAATTTAGGAGAAAGGCATTGGATCGAAGAAAAGCCCTCGTAGAGGAAGCGGAATGATTATGGCCATATGCATGGAGCCTCCAAGAAATTGTCGTCTTGTCTTATGACGAACCATTTCTTTATACTTGTTTATTCGTTTTGATTTTTGGGGTATAGTGGACAATGATGCATGCTAATATTCCAAGTTTCTTGCCAGTGTGCATCGTGCTGAAGGTCTTTATCTAGGGGTAGTCCGGATGAGAGAGGAGAGCATCGATATCCACTTTCCTATTCATGCGAGGAGGATTTTCCACTTTTTGTACTCTTGCGTCTTTAGGCGTCACACTGTTGTGGCGTGTTACTGTTTCCGGTTTGCAGATTTTTGGATCCTGTGTTCAGTTATGTTTGGATATCAGCGTTGGTGAAGACTAGATCAATGCAAGTGGAGTCATTTGGGACTATATAAGTCGGATCCTCGGGGCTATTGACCATTTCTTTTGTGCTCTCCTTCTTTCAACGCTTTTGCCCATGGATTAGTTCTAGGACTGAGAAAGGGTAAATAAGGCTTTCACTTGAAAATGACCTATGATAAAATAAGAGTAAATGCCAATGGGAGAATAAAAAGCCGTACGCACACCGGGGGGTTGATCTACCAAAGTGACTGATGACTGCGTTCAAATGCTTCCTAATGCTACTGTAATGCGATTGATTCTGTAGGGAACGATGCGAAAAAACCTGGATCCCTTCAACGAACATTCCGATGAGGCCTTATGGAGAGTCGTGGAACAAGTGAGCCCAACCTTTGAGTACCTAAACACATTCCCGAAATCTGCAAAACGGAGCTAGTCAATACAGCTTCGGAATTTGTGTGGAATCAGGTTCAGCTGAAGGAAGCAGTCAGTGAGCTACCGGAGAAATTGAACACGACACTCTTCGAAGGAGGGAGTAACTTCTCAGTGGGTCAGAGACAGCTTGTATGTCTTGCCAGGGCCCTCCTTCAACGAAACAAAGTTCTTGTCCTTGATGAAGCTACGGCCAACGTCGATCCCAAGTGAGAATAATCGGACTAATCCACTATCTCAGTACAGTATTTTTTTCTTTCGACAAGACAAACTCCACATTCGAATTCGCGATTGACTTCAGGACGGATGCCCTCTTCCAAGAGACTCTGAAGAAGAGTTTCAAGGATTGTACGGTGTTGACGATCGCACATCGCTTGGATACAATCATTGACAGCGACAAAGTTCTCGTTCTTGATCGCGGAGAAATTAAAGTAAGTGCATCTCGAAATACTTAATTAGACGAATAGACTCATTTTTTTACGGACGCATCGATTAAGGTTTTCTGATGTAGGAATTTGGGCGACCATACGAGCTGCTGCAGAACAAGAAAGGTCCTTTCTTTGAACTAGTAGCCCAAACGGGAAAAGCATCATCAGCACGGCTTTATCGCGCAGCCGCAAAGGTGAGATCACGGCCTCCATTTATCTTTGATATTTGCTTCATTTCCAGAACGATGAGAAGTTATTAACAATCGAGTGCTGACTGGTTGCAGTCACAGGCAGAAAAATTTCCAGAGAAGTTAGGCATTCTAGCTCCATCTCTAGAGGAAGTGCAAGAAGAGGAGGATGATAAATTATAACCACATTCTGAAGAAAATGGAGTATCTACAGTGAAAGAAACTTCCACCCACCAATAGTTTCTGTGAATGAGCTGCTCAAACGGCGGATCTCAGCAACAATCCTCTCCCTCGTCTACCTCCCTTACCCGGTGCCGGATCCGACCAACTTCTAAGAATTTCTTGCCTGCGACGGAAGTGTCTTCACACGATTTACGCACGGGCGTTTTTTTTAAATATAATTATTATTATCCTACGAGTGCCTTCATTGAATTCTCGACGATGCTTTTTTGTACATTGGGTTTGACATCCCTTGAGCGAGACAAGAAAAGTATACTAAAGAGAAAGCCAATTGGATTTTTCGTCTCCTATGCGGATGCTTTTCGAAACACCAGCATACCCTCGTACTGCATGGAATTGTAGGGAAATTCCCGAGCAACGTAGATCTTACACCAGAACATCTACTATGAAGAAATAAACTCAGACGTAACTCTGATGAGACCAGAACAAACAAGTCTTACCCCAACGTCCTTGAGGAATCCGCGAATCGAACTCGACTGCAACCTCAGGAAATCTCACTTTCTTTCGAAAGTCTGGTAGTGTTACCACTGAGGAGAATCTTCGGCATTGATCTCACGATATTTACGAAAATTTACTGAAGTCGACACAGCGTTATGGCCTTTAGAGGCCACTGAAGATATTAAGAACTTCACTTACTCCAACGGGGTACATGATGGGGGATTGCCGCAATAATTCCTCCCTCGTCTCTGCATTTCCCTAACTTTATGCAAGAAGCGTCAAAAGTCTTTTTTTTTTTAACTCAGACAAGAGATTAATGGAAAAGGTGTCAAAGTTGCGGAAGTACTGTCCAATAGATTCAGCGCTATTCTTCCACAGGGAACAAGGTGGTAAGGGACAAAGTCGTCAAGCTTTGCGCAGTACTCTATCATATCTGCAACGACCAATAACTCTTTTCCTTTTGTTATATTGGCGATATCGATTCCGGATGAAGGGGCATCTTGGCATCATCTGAAATCCACGCATGGTAGAGCCTCTTTTCCGCAGTTCAATGGATCTATACCTCAGCTGTCGACTATCCAGAACGTGCAATGCCATTCTCGTGTCTTCCACGATTGCAAATGGAGAGGCAGAAGTGTATGTTATGAGGAGAAAAACTTTCAAGCAACATAAGATTTTTCACTGAATGGACCGAACCCTATACTATCCAGAACGTGCAATGCCATTCTCGTGTCTTCCACGATTGCAAATGGAGAGGCAGAAGTGTATGTTATGAGGAGAAAAACTTTCAAGCAACATAAGATTTTTCACTGAATGGACCGAACCCTATGACAAAAAATAATTTGGTGCACGTTTTATCCATTCCTACCTCAACAATGACAATCTCAGAGTTTAAAATTTGAAGCCTTTAGACTTGGTAAATAGGTAATGAACTTCTGGAGCCTCATGGTCTACTGTGTCAACTTTAGAAAAGCCAGATAAGAAAACATAACTCACAGTTTGCTAGGATGGGTTTGTTCTGGCAGCAGAAAAACACGGCGTGAAAACCTTATTAGTGTTCCAATAAGTTTTAAGCCCCCACAGAGAATCACAATTGATCACCACTTGTTGGGATATCACTTCACATCCACAACACTAAATCGTGTCACGGAATATCCACTTTCGATGACAAGCCCAAGATTTCACCTCTGTCCAATTCCAGGCGTCGATATCACCATTTGGGAGACAAAGAAAACTCGTAGCTATTTAAGACTTGTGTCTAGGTCTACTTGGACGAATGGAAGAGATTCGGAGGAAAGAAATGGACAAACGCGAGCAGATAGCACGCGTGGCGGCCGGGAGAGGACTGACGAAGAATGAAAACTTATTGCAAAGTCAGGTCATGGTGCATGCGCTCACTCAACCACAAATCCAAGTTCTTGGCATTGAATACCGTATAAGAGTAGGTCCAAAATTATTCGGACCTTTCCTGATTTAAAGGTGAAAGTCTAAGGACTGTCATCGTTGAGGGACGCGGGGAGAAGGCTTCATGAAAAGTCGGCTCGACTCCCATAAACCTCAATCCTATCCCACATGAAAGCAGTATGATGGATATTCATACAGAATAAGCGAAACTTCGAGTTGGATTCTCAATATTTTCGTCAGAATAAATTGAAAAATGGGGGGAAAGTCCTAAGTGTTCTCATTTCGGAAATGCACAGAGGCAGACGATCGCCTTTTGATTCATGAAATGGAACTCGGAATTCTCGACTTAAATAATGAGAACACCCACCCTTTCAAGCCAGAATGAAGAATATGCAACCCTTATTGGACCATCTTAGGATCATCGCCTGTCGATCAACAAGGAAAATCCACAGAGAAAGTTTTCAACACACGAATATCAACGGAGATGGATGGCGCCAGCAGATTAAGGACAGGAACTGTAAAGCGAACGGCCTTTAATTTCAGCTGACTTTCTGCCGATGCGTTTTGCTTCTCGTTACCAGTATAGAACTTTGTACATGTAGAAAGAAAAATCAACGGGGATTGTTGCTCTCTTTCTTCTTGCAAGTATTTCAGAATTGTGCCAGTGGAGAGGCTTCCTTTCTCAGGATACATCGCTGTGATCTTTAGCCCTTCCTATATACTAGACAGAAGTTAATAACCCACTGAGTTTCAAAAGGGCCATTCCAGGGAACATGATTAACACGTTATAGGTAACTGTAAGAATAAGTACGCAGCAAAGGAAGGAAGTACTAACCCTACTATCGTATCACAAGTGCTGCACGCAGTTTCAGAAAAATTTATGCTCTTTCAAACTTGATTGTCTATTTACTTCTGTCTAGTCTGTGTAGATAAGGAAAATGGCGCTCGCAGATCGCTCAATGAATTTCCCTTGACTGGATGGACGATCATCAACTTATTTAGGATATTTCAAAAAAAAATTTGAATCGCCTGGATGCACCGATTTAAATAATTAAGATTTTAATGAACGTGGAAGGAGTAACATACATTTTTCACGCGCATGGGTAACCTGATCATGATCAAAGAATATATTTATTTCTACCTCATCATAAAAAATCTGAGCAGGACTTAAGGTTCACCCCATTCTCATAGTCCTTCCCCCACCTTAAGTACCTTTCTCCCATACCTTTACCCAGAGCCGTACCGAGGATATTTGTCACCCTGTGCGAGAAATCCCGCCTCCCCCTCCGTGCTAGGTATCAATCCAGCCCCCTCCCCCCCCTCCATACCTCTCCAGCTTCCCTAGCACCAATAATACATAGCGTATTAATTTCTATGTTTAATTTAGTTAAATTCAGGATAGTTTGCAATTTGATACTGCCATGATGACTGCCAAATCAATACAAAATAGGAATTGCAACTCATATTTTGTATTGATTTGGCAGTCAATCGGCGCCCCCGGAGTCGCTCGCATCGCTCGCACCCCCCTCTGCACGGCTCTGCCTTTGCCTTTAGTACTGCATGTGATGATAAGGTAGAAAAATATATATCCTTGAATCGCCACAATACTTTCAACCTTCAAGGTTCAAGAACTTAATTTTAGAAGATTGTCATGAGTTGATGGCGCAATTATTTAATTATCGTAAACTCTCGATGAGCTAATACACACATTATTTACCTCAGGGACCAACCCCTTTGTCCTATTCCTCATTTGGGACCAAAATATCCTGGACAAATTTTTCCGGGATTCATCCATTGATGTTGAGGAAGGCATTCCACATCACAGTTTCTTCGTGTAAACTTTGGCTGAAATGATTTAACCCCTTTCGTCGGTGGGAATGGGATTTGCAGTATACGCTAAGCTTACTAAAGAATTTTTAAATGTTCATTCCTACTCTTCCCCTACTTTTATAGAGGAGTCAGCTGACTGACGAAACGGTTGCGCTCTTTTAATGGCAGTTGAAAATCTGACAAATGCGAAGTCTTCCGCTATATGCATGCGAGCCAGATTTGAACCAGTTTAGATTATCTTATATGACATTCATGCAAGGCATTGATAGATGGAAGGATCTTACCTTCTGACTGCCCAATTTGGACTGAGAAACGATCTCCCCGAAACAAAGATGTCGCTTCAGTTTCAACCTCAACATGGTTCCCCACATGTGGCTATTATGTGGGTATGCACTTCTTTTTTGGTAATACCAATTATTTCGTGGGTAATCCTTGATCCAGGTACATACAGGACAGCCAACGCCCGTATTATATCCAGGATCATCTTATATCCCTACGTCCTCCTCCCTCTTTCCTATTCCCGTTTCTAGTTTTTTCGAAACCTCGCTGTCCCGCTCGTCCATTTTTTTCATAACACACAATTATTGGATTTCACAGAGGTGAGGGCTGGGGTCGAATTCCCAAGTTCAATATTGATGTCCAAGTCGTAAGCCATTAGACTGCCAGCTCTGACACTGAAAGGAGTGGCAAGCCGCAACGATGTGAAGAGAATAGTAACTCAGCTGCCCTGAATATAACATGATCCAGGGCAGCCCTAGATACCTCAATTTGGGTGGTTTTGCAGTAGAAAGTTGAAGAATCCTACAATGGTTTTCTTTGTGCTTTTGGAAAATAGCACAATGAAGCTAATGTCTTTGAAATAAATATACCAGCAGAAAGTGGTACTCTTGAATGTAAGGCCAACTGATAAACGTACTGTGTCCTGAAGTTGACTTTTACACACCTACCTCCCTTTTTTTGGTGCTGTTATCACAATTCTTGAGAGTTACCCAGTAATTGCAAACATCATAAATGGCCAAAAGGTACTGCAAGAAGTGAAATTGAAGTGAAATCCCTTAGTGAGCAAGTGAACTTCTTCACAACTTTCTGGGAGAGCCCAAAGAGAAGTGCAAAGCACATGTATATGGTGAGAGTAATTCAATCAGGAAAAACTTTAGGCCTCAGCACAGCTCTGGCTAATGCAAGGATTGCTGGATGTGGTGTTTCACTTTTATTTGCAGTAAGGACTATCCAGGGCTACCCTTGATCCAATAATATGCTGGAAGCATAGCTCCCATTATCTTCACATCACTCATGCTTGCCCCTCCTTTCAGTGCAGGACCTGGCAGCCCAATGGCTTAAGACTCAGACATCAATACTAAATGTTTGTTGTAGGTTTCACACCTTTGCTGCCGTATTACTTATTGGTGGGTCATGTGCCCATAATACCAGCAGGCACAAAGAGGGGCCTAGCAGTGAAGGTGTTTATCCGGC